ATCGAGGTTCTACATTCAGAAAGACCGGGACATCCCATCAATAAGCGTGCGCTCCCTAACCAACTACCTGTCTCACACAGTCAGCGAAATTATCTTGGATTTTTTTACCTACGAGTTAGCAATCGATGTACTGAACGCTACATACAAAGCCCCAAAATGAGATATTTTCTAGACACCTACTTGCAACTCGTCGACAAGAATCAGGCGAGACATTGGACCATTTCCTTAAGAGCCTTCAGACACTGAGCAAAGATTGCAACTTCTGCCCAATGACAGCATTAGAGGCCCAAGAGCTACATTTTGGACGCCTTTCATTAACGGCTTTACATACAATACTCAGATAAGACAACGCGTCTTCTTGAGAATAAGACCCTTACACTTAGAACAGCTTATGAGCAAGTGCTATACAGCAGTCTAGTTCTTATTTACAGCCAGACACCGTGGGCGCCGCATTAAACCCACCTGTTCTTACTGTCCCCCCCTCATGACGATAGTCTGACTAAGCTTCAAGAACAATAAAAAGGTCACTGCCACTTTAAAAAAGGACACTTGCTATTTTTTTGAATTTATCTAAACACCCACGAGTCTCATGCCCTGCCAGAGATACTCGTTGTCATAAATGTGGAAAACTTTCAAAGGTATGCAAGTCTTCTAAAACTCTATACAAATCCACTTTCGTCAAAATACTTCTGCAACTTTTAGCCTTTAGACTGCCTTTCAAAAAACTATTGTAAAAAGTGAAAATTAACGGGAGGTCTACAAATGCCCTGCTTTCGATACCGGGAGCTCAGGAAATTTTATCAAAAGCTTGGTAAAAACCCCAGCAGAGTAACAATGGCAAGCGCGTCATTGTTCGCCAAGTAAGTGGTTATTGTTTGGTGGACTTACTATTTAATGGCGTCTCCTATAAAACCACTAAATTATCCGTAATGAAAAACCTTTGTTATGAAATAATACTGGGACACGATTTTTTGCAGCAACACTCACAGGTTGAAATTCGTTTGGCGGTTCAATGCCCGCATTGAAAATTTGTGGATTGGCGACAGCAAAAATCCAGTACCCGTCACTTTTCGAAAACCTAACTGAAAACTGCAAACCCATAGCAGTGAGAAGCAGACGTTTTTCTTATAATAATAAAAATTCATTGACTCTGAGATAAAAAAAGACTACTTGAGGAGGGTATAATTGAGCCTAGCAAATCACCCTGGAGGCTCAGGTAGTTATAACCACTTCTAGCAACCATAAAAAGAGAATGGTTATAGATTGCTCCCAAACCATAAATAGATTTTACTCTTTTGGGACGCCTTCCCACTACCCAGGATAGATGAAATGATAGCCGAAATAGCCAAATATCGTATGTTTAGCACTCTGGACTTGAAAAGCGCGTACCATCAGATCGCCATTAGACCTAGAGACAAACCATACACTGCTTTTCTTGCTCTAACGGTCGACTATATCAATCAGAAAAGGATTCCTTTTTTGGCGTTATTGAATGGGGTAGCCAGCTTCCAAGGATAGTCGACCAAATCATAATGGATGAGAAACTGGAAGGCACATTTGCGTACGCCGACAACGTCACAGTATGTATATATAATAGAAAGGAACGACGAAAATCTCAGACGGTTCATGTCCGCCGTCGATAAATACAACCTTACCCTAACGGCGACAAATGCTTGTTTGGACTGGACAAAATAAACCTACTGGGGTATACCATAAGCAAAGGTTTTATGGCACAAGGCGCAGATCGGTTGAAACCTTTACTCAGATGCCTGTCCCTCACAACCAGCCTTCCCTTGACGTGCTATGGGCATGTTTGCTCATTACTCTCAATGGATTGCTTCGTTCTCAGAAAAGATACATCCATTGACACAAGTAGAGACGTTTCCTCTGTCCCATCAAGCCGTTGAGGCATTAGAGGACTGAAAAAGGATATTCGAAATCTGCAATTACAACAATAGACCAAAATATTCCTCTGGTTGTTGAAACGGATGCATCAGACTGTGCTATTGCTGCTTCTTTGAAACAAGCTGATTGTCCTATAGCCTTCTTTTCAAGGACCCTCTCACAGGCTGAGCAGCGACACCCTGCAATTGAAAAGGAAGCCTACACCATAGTCGAGGCATTAAGAAAATGGCGACACTACCTGATCAGGCGCCACTTTAAACTTATTACTGACCAGAAATCAGTTGCTTTTATGTTCAACTCTAAAACTACGAGTAAAATAAAGAATGAGAAAATAGCGAGGTGGAGAATTGAGCTATCTTGTTTCTCCTTTGACGTCAGCTACCGACCTGGCAAGGAGAACTTAACAGCTGATACACTGTCAAGAGCATGCTCTTACGGCATCAAGCGGGGACCGAACTCCGAACGCTACATAACAATCTCTGTCACCCGGGCATTACTCGAATGGTTCATGCTGTGAGGTGTAGAAACTTACCTTTCTCAGTGGAGGAGGTAAAAAAGAATTACAAATTCTTGTCGAGCGTCTGCTGAAATAAAGCCTCAGTTTTATAAACCCCAAACTGGCGTTTTTAATAAAAAAGCAACACAACCGTTTGAAAGACTCAATCTTGATTTTAAAGGACCGCTACCAAGTAAAACAAGGAACAGATATATATTAACGGTTATCGATGAATATTCACGGTTTCCTTTTGCCTTCCTTGTTCAGACATATCGGCTGCTGCAATTATACAATGCCTCTGCTCACTGTTATGCCATCTTTGGAGCCCCTGCCTATATACATACGGGACGAGGGGCTTCTTTTCATGTCAGAGCAGCCGGCAATTTCTACAGGAACGAGGGTAGCTATAAGCCGGACAACTCCCTACAACCCTAAGGGTAATGGCCAATGCAAAAGATATAACAGCATTATTTGGAAGACCGTTCAATTGGCTGCCTCAAATAACGGATGTTCAATTGATAATTGGGAAAATCTCCTTCCTGTCATTATACGCCATTTGTTCCCTATTGTGTACCACCACGAATGCCACCCCACATGAAAGGTTTCTACCTTTTTCAGCGGACGAGTTCGGCAGGAGCCCAGCTTCCATCTTGGCTCTCTCAACTCGGGTACTGTTTCTGAGACGACATGCACATTACACCAAGAACGATCCTTGGTGGACAAGGTAGAGCTTATAGAGGGAACCCTCACGCTGCTTAGTACAACATGCAGATGGTAGAGAGTCTAATGTGTCTCTCAGGGACCTAGCACCGGCCGGAGACGTGCCGGACCGTGGATAGCCCCTGAGGACAGAGTTTACCCTGACACTGAAGCCCCTCTGGAAGATCATGGCACTGAAATTGTTCCTGACATGCCGTCTGACAACACTGTCTCCGTTGAGGCCCCGTCACTAGCACCCGAATAAACGTGTTCATCCAGAGACTGACTCTTCACGGAACGGCCTGCTCCTCTGAGAAGGAAACATTTGAGACAAGGTATTTTAGAGCCCACAGACAGGCTGTCTACTGAAGAGCCTCCCTGTTGAATACTCCGACCATGAATCATGGACTGCCAAGGCGGCCACTAGCTGAACTCCAAGGGAGCCTGGACATTTAAGGGACTTTCTTCCCTATCAGTGAGAAATTTGGTGGGGAGAATGTTGTGAATATGGATTATCTCCTCTTAGATAATCCAAGCTATAAAAGCTGTATACTTCCGCTGTCAAGTCAGATGAGTAGTAGTATTCTTAATTGAATAAACGATTACTAGACAGAATCTCTTGTCCTGTTTTCATTACAATATACTGGAGTGTCATCACCACTTCAGCTTTGATCAATGGCAATGGACTTCAAGATGAGTCAGAGATTGCATCCACTTGCTCCAGTGTGACAAAAAACCAACAAAACCTGGTGATATTATGAGATACTGCTGGGGCACCCTAGGTTTAGTGGTAGTGATGCTGTGGCCTTGAAAGCATGCCTGATCTCTATCATTATCTAATGAGGTTTTTGTTGGGGGAACTGCTATTATTATTATAGCCCTCATATGAATTACACACACAGTGGATATTGAAAAATTCTTGACCAGACTAAGAAATGTTTGATCAAATTTTCCTTTTTAGATCAATGGATAGTGTGCTGGACTTATTAGCAAATGAATGTTGAGAAATCTAATTTTCTACCAAAGTGGCCTTATCTAATAAATATATATATCTTCAGAATCTGAATTTGTAAAAGGTTAATGCCTTTTCTAACATATTTTTCCACTTAAGACAATCTGTCATTGTGTTATGCAAATCAAAGAGAGGATCATTGCTGTTTTAGGTTCTCTAAAAACAGCATGAGCACACCTTCAAACTTGATACAGATTGCCACAGCAGCAATTAATCAACTCTGTGCTGTAGATTTCTTGCTGCATTTTCATAATTTGATAATATAAATTGTAACAACATTAATAGAATAGTATGAAATGGAAATTTTAATGCTGTTCAGCAATCTATATATGTAAAATCTAGTGCCTGTAACTATTTTAAATTCCATTGTGTCTATTTAATGAAAGTCTGCTTTACGCTAAAAATGGTAAAATTATAAATCCAAAGATTAAGCACCGTTATAAAATGAGGAATACTCTGTTGTCTCTTTTTAAGAACCTATTTATAGATTTATTTCTCTATGCTTTTAATATTTCAAATTCAATTTAGATAAAGAAAATAATAGGAAATATTGTCTTTGGTCTGATAAAAATATAGAAGTTATTTTCAGAGACAGAATTCTGGTATTAAAAAAATTAATCTTGGTTGGCTGATATCTGATTAAACTTTTTCTAATATCAAATTTTGCTGATTAAACTCATGGCTTTCTTTAAAGAATTTAATACTGTTCACTCAATCCCATGAGAATTTTGAGGAAGAAGGTAATAAGAAATTAAATGTGGTGTTCACTTGTTGGGTAAAAGTATAACTCCATTTTGTTTCCTTTACACTTTTTGATTACCATCAGTTCTCTAATCTAATTACATAATGTATTAAGGACCAAATGTAGTAGTAAATTAAGAAACATAAATGTATGCATTGTTTGCTACTTCTCTCTTTCTATCTATCTCTCTCTCTTTCTCTTTAGAGTAAATTACATTTAATTGAAGATATATTTACTTGCTTTATTTTTTAAATGATTTGCTGAAGAATGACCGGCAACAGAAAATCATTGTTCTTTACTGATTTATTGTTTTGGAGAAAACTCTTTGATCTTTTACTTGACTTATTGAAAGTGAGAGATTTAAGATACTTTAAAATACCCTAATAGAAATTTCTAAAGGGAAAAAGACCTTATGATGTGTAATCTGAATCCAATACATACGAATTATGATTTAACTTTGAATCTAATAAAGAAAAACACCAAAAAGCCTGTTACTTAATAAAGAAACCAGATTGATTGGAACAGCTCCACTGGGTTTTATCATGAAAATGCAAAGCAACATCAGAATCATTCTGTTCTTTCTTGTATCAATTCTCGTTTCACTTTGGGAAAAAATTATATGAAAAATAGATTAGTCTTCCTTGGGAGTAGGGGTAGTAACCAGAAACCTTTAAGCCTGGGTGTGGTTCCTTTCATTTTATTGGATTTGGTTTAGGGAGTAGAACATTTCTACAAGGTGAAAGACTATTGATAAATGGCTTGAATCAAAATTATGAAATTGTTTGGTGTAATATAATACACAGAATTTGATAGTAGTAAAGCTACAAAGTTTCATTTCTTAAACTATTGGCTTGTGTACACAAGAAGTCATTATTATTTTTTCAAGATTTGTGACTGAGATGAATGGCCACATAAAATATTGTTGTAATAAATAAATAATAAATACAGGTGGATGTGTGTACACACACACACACACACACTAGCGCCTGTGTGTGTGTGTGTGCGTTTCAATTTTTTTTATTTATTTGTTTTTATTTTTGTGACTGTGTGGAGGTCAGAAGGAAGACATGGGAAAGTGTGCTTTTTCTGAGTCACACAAGTAGGCAGTTAGCCTTTGTCTGGGTCCCCTGCACATATTTACGGGTTGAACAGGGTGAGGCCTGGAAGGTGAATAGGAGGGTACATCCCCCCCCCCACACACACACCTTTTAATACCTACTTGTTTTTTTACTGCTAAACACATATACAATATAACTTGTTGTTCAGCATTGACTGAATCTATAACTACATCTTTCTCCCTTTTATGCATTTCGCTCTTGTAAGTTTCTTTCTGTTGTAGTCTCTCTCTCTCTCTCTCTCTGTCTTTTGTTCTCTCTTTGTTACTTTTCTCTATCTGCTATTATCTATTCTGTCTTTGCTATATTTTTCTCCTTTTCTCTCTCTCTCCGTCTGGTACCTTTTCTCTCTCTCTCTCTCTATCTTTGCTATTTTATCTCTCCCTCTCTATCTATCTCTCTCTATCTCTGCTACTTTATCTATCTCTCTCTATCTCTGCTACTTTATCTATCTCTCTCTATCTCTGCTACTTTATCTATCTCTCTCTATCTCTGCTACTTTATCTATCTCTCTCTATCTCTGCTACTTTATCTATCTCTCTCTATCTCTGCTACTTTATCTCTCTCTCTCTATCTCTGCTACTTTATCTCTCTCTCTCTATCTCTGCTACTTTATCTCTCTCTCTCTATCTCTGCTACTTTATCTATCTCTCTCTATCTCTGCTACTTTATCTATCTCTCTCTATCTCTGCTACTTTATCTATCTCTCTCTATCTCTGCTACTTTATCTCTCTCTCTATCTCTGCTACTTTATCTCTCTCTCTCTATCTGCTACTTTATCTATCTCTCTCTATCTCTGCTACTTTATCTCTCTCTCTCTCTCTCTATCTCTGCTACTTTATCTATCTCTCTCTATCTCTGCTACTTTATCTATCTCTTTGCTACTTTATCTCCCTCTCTCTCTATCTCTGCTACTTTATCTCTCTCTCTATCTCTGCTACTTTATCTCTCTCTCTATCTCTGCTACTTTATCTCTCTCTCTATCTCTGCTACTTTATCTCTCTCTCTATCTCTGCTACTTTTTCTCTATCTCTCTCTCTCTGCTACTTTTTCTCTATCTCTCTCTCTCTCTGCTACTTTTTCTCTATCTCTCTCTCTACTTTTTTCTCTCTCTCTCTCTCTCTCTGCTACTTTTCTCTCTCTCTCTCTCTCTACTTTTCTCTCTCTCTCTCTCTGCTACTTTTCTCTCTCTCTCTCTCTGCTACTTTTTTCTCTCTCTCTCTCTGCTTCTTTTCTCTCTCTCTCTCTCTCTGCTTTTCTCTCTCTCTCTCTCTGCTACTTTTCTCTCTCTCTCTCTCTGCTACTTTTTCTCTATCTCTCTCTCTGCTACTTTTTCTCTATCTCTCTCTCTGCTACTTTTTCTCTATCTCTCTCTCTGCTACTTTTTCTCTATCTCTCTCTCTCTGCTACTTTTTCTCTCTCTCTCTCTCTGCTACTTTTTCTCTATCTCTCTCTCTGCTACTTTTCTCTATCTCTCTCTCTGCTACTTTTTTCTATCTCTCTCTGCTACTTTTCTCTCTCTCTCTCTGCTACTTTCTCTATCTCTCTCTGCTACTTTTCTCTATCTCTCTCTCTACTTTTTTTCTCTATCTCTCTCTCTGCTACTTTTTCTCTATCTCTCTCTCTGCTACTTTTTCTCTATCTCTCTCTCTGCTACTTTTTCTCTATCTCTCTCTCTGCTACTTTTTCTCTATCTCTCTCTCTGCTACTTTTTCTCTATCTCTCTCTCTACTTTTTTCTCTATCTCTCTCTCTGCTACTTTTCTCTATCTCTCTCTCTACTACTTTTCTCTATCTCTCTCTCTACTACTTTCTCTATCTCTCTCTCTCTCTTTTCTCTATCTCTCTCTCTCTCTTTCTCTCTCTCTCTCTGCTACTTTTCTCTATCTCTCTCTCTGCTACTTTTCTCTCTCTCTCTCTCTCTGCTACTTTTCTCTCTCTCTCTCTCTGCTACTTTTCTCTCTCTCTCTCTCTTTTCTCTATCTCTCTCTCTGCTACTTTTCTCTATCTCTCTCTGCTACTTTTCTCTATCTCTCTCTCTGCTACTTTTCTCTATCTCTCTCTCTGCTACTTTTCTCTATCTCTCTCTGCTACTTTTCTCTATCTCTCTCTCTCTCTTTCCTTTGTTCTCTCTTTGCTACTTTTCTCTCTATCTCTCTCTCTCTGTCCTTTGTTCTATCTTTTTCTCATTTCTCTATCTCTCTATTATATCCTCTCTCCGTCTATTTTCCTCCTTTTCTCTCTCCGTCTGGTACCTTTTCTCTCTCCGTCTGGTACCTTTTCTCTCTCCGTCTGGTACCTTTTCTCTCTCCGTCTGGTACCTTTTCTCTCTCCGTCTGGTACCTTTTCTCTCTGGTACTTTTTCTCTCTCTCCCTGGTACTTTTTTTTCTCTCTCTCTCTCTTTTCTCTCTCTTTTTCTCTCTCCCTGCTACTTTTTTCTCTCTCTCTCTCTCTGCTTTTTTTCTCTCTCTCTCTCTCTGCTACTTTTTCTCTCTCTCTCTCTCTGCTACTTTTTTCTCTCTCTCTCTCTCTCTGCTACTTTTTTCTCTATCTCTCTCTCTCTGCTACTTTTTTCTCTATCTCTCTCTCTCTGCTACTTTTTTCTCTATCTCTCTCTCTCTGCTACTTTTTCTCTATCTCTCTCTCTCTGTCCTTTGTTCTCTCTTTGTTACATTTCTCTATCTGCTATTATATCCTCTGTCTTTGCTATATTTTTCTCCTTTTCTCTCTCCGTCTGGTACCTTTTCTCTCTGCTACTTTTTCTCTCTCTCCCTGCTACTTTTTTCTCTCTTTCTCTCTCTGCTACTTTTTTCTCTCTTTCTCTCTCTCTATCTCTGCTAATTTTCCTCTCTTTCTCTTTCTATCTCTGCTACTTTATCTCTCTCTATATATATATATATCTCTGCTACTTTTTCTCTCTCTCTCTCTCTGCTACTTTTTCTCTCTCTCTCCTTCTTTTCTCTCTTTGTCTTTCCTATTTATTTTTTCTTTTCTTTTTCTACTTTTTCTCTAATTCCCCATTGCTCTCTCTCTCTCACACTCACTCTCTATCCATATATTTTCTCTCTCTCTCTCTTTTCACCTCTCTACTACATGTTACCATAACAATGGAACATCTTGTTAATAACAGTTGCTAATACTTTCCTTTTATGTCTTTTGTTTCATGCTACCTTTGGGTGTTTTTACTTTATAATGATTTGCATAATTTACTTTTGTAAAATTCTTTGTTACCTCCAACAATAGAGTTAATTGTAAAGATAAAAAAAAATGTGCATTATTCATAAAGAAAATACAACTAATATTGACATCATTTTTGACTGCCTATTTATATCTGTACCTGTATTTTTTTAATGGATGTACCTTCTGTTTTTTTTTCTTTTTTTTCTTTTTTTTTTTTTTACATTGAGGTTCATTCTGTACAAGTCCCAGGGGCCACAAGGTAGTGAGTTACTGTAAAAGGCAGTTTATGCAGATAGGAAGTGAAGATAACATTTAGCCCTAGACTTGAAGTTAAGATTGTAGTGATTGGGGAAACATCCTCTTGGGAGTCAGTTCTACAGAGCAGTGGTTCACAGGAAGAAGCTGTTGTAGTGAAACTTACTTCTCTACAATGTGGGTGACATGGAATTGTGTCCAGGCCAGTGACTTAGGATCAAAGCTTTTGATAAGTCTTATAATGGTAAGCACAGTCTCTTTGCTTCTGAATTCATGGGATCCACTTTGTTTATTTTGAATGTTGGCCTGGACCCCTTGTGCATAGCTACACTTTGCATTTTCCAGAACTTTCTTTTGGGTAGTTCTGAATGCACCACTCCTTGTGATACCTGTGAAAATAGAAAATTTTGAAAGCTTATTCCAAATGTCAACTGCATTGCAGTGGTGATTCTCATCTTACACACCAATTGTAAGTTTGATTCTTCATTAAATGCTTCATTACTAATGGCTTTGTATCAGATGAAGCTATGATTGATACTTGATACATAACTGTGTTCCAGTTGTCTAGTTTACTGTTTTCTTGAAAATTTTTCTCTTTCTCTACAAATTTTGTTAAAAAACAAAAGGTGATTTAAGGATCTACTGATTTGGTTTATGAAAATTATATAGAATTCAAGGAACTTTGGCAAAATAAACTTGAATCCTTTGAAAAGAATACTTTAATAAACATCTCATCTTGCAGACAGTGTGTATCTTTATACACACACACTGATATGATAATGTAACGAAAAATAGAAAACATTTATAAATCTGACATGTTTCACTTTTATCAAAGCTTCATCAGAGAATGAAATATGGAGAAAGAAAAAAAATTCTGGTATTTTTAAATTTTGTTTGTTATTCATTGGTTAAGCAGACTTCACATGCATTTTGTCTTGTAAAGTAGCATTCATGTGTAGATTTATGTGTGTAAGTATATCATGATTCTAGTTTGTCTGTATGGGATCTGGATGATAATATATATTCATTTGTGTGTGTGTGGTTTTATTTATATATGGTGCTTGTTCACATGTTGATTTGGGGAATTTTCAATTAATACTGTTTGTCATAGTGGTGGTAGTAGTAGATAAACATATTTTAGATTCTTTAAGTATGGATTTCATAAAAGTTGATGTAATATAGAGTGTTTGATGTGTGTTTAAAGATGGTAAGAGATTTATCAGAAGCCCCTCAAAGTATTTATTACATTAAAAAAAAAAAAATTGTTCTTTTTTCTAATTAGTTATAAAATCAAAGTTATGTCCAGTTTTCTCCAAAGAGACTGGCATCTAAAACTAGTGCTGTAGATCTCTTGGCCATGCTGTTACACACACACACACACACTAAAATAAAGAGAAAGAACAGTAAGATTTAGAATCCGGTGTTCTTATTAATTATTTTTATTTTTAAAAAATCAGTGCTCAATACAATTCTCTTTAAAATGAAACAGTACTGGGGATTTTAATTTAATTCTATAATTAAATTTGAAGTTTTTAGTTTCTGTTTTTGAAACATGGTAATTCCTGTGTAGTGATAGAACCATATTTTTGAATTAGTAAATTTATAATATATATATATATATCTGCCATTTATTGGTTTAATTACAATGTATTATTTCTTAATTATTTTTTATTCATTTGTAATTTGTGTGTAAGGAAAAAAAACAATCTATAATTTTCATAATATCAACAAATAAATAGTTATTTGATGAAATATTTTACTAGTACAGCATGATTTGATTCTAAGATTACTTAACTTCTATTTTGTTAAATTCCTTCTCAATTAATATGCAAAAACTATTTTGCTATGTTTGCATCTGAGGTCGACCATTGATTATTTTGGGCAAATATTTTCCCTTTTTTATCTGGACAATATACACACATGTAGTGGAATTTGTATTGATTGTTGAACCAGCCAGTCAGTTTGCATGCACACTGTTTTTTTTATTCTCTTGTTTCAGTTGCATTTCATAAATTCTTTTTCTATCTATTTATGGATCTCATCTTAATTTCACTCACTTTTTATCACAACTTCTCCAACCATCTACAGGTCTCAGAGTGTAATAAACAATAATCTTTCAGCAGAAGAATCCCTATCACTCTGTAGACTTCTTTATTTCCAATTCAGGTTGAGCTTCAATAGATAGCATTTTGACTGATTCAACTATGGAAGGTCAAAAGGGATACAAATCAAGTCATATTGCCACTTCTCAGCACAAATTGCCAATTTCCTATTCCAAATCTTCACACCATTTTTATTATTTTTCAGCTAAGTCTTAAATTATTTGAATTCTGAAATGAAATTATAATTGAAAAATGTTTCATCTCAGATTTTTAATAACTTAAATAGTGTATTCTTTATCACAGTTGTAAAAATACTATTTCTTTATAATGTTGGAGAATAAAGCATATCTTTAGGCCCTGTTAGCTAATAGTTTTGTCAATTGTTGCAAATTAATTATTTTTTAATGCAACCTTATCAAAATAGACAACATTAAAAAATATTCAAAACAATCCCTGCTCTTTTTACTAATCTATAAGAAAGAAATTAAAGAAATTACCTTTGTCCCAACAGGCATTAGTAAGAAGTGTAGGTGAGGAGAGAATAAAAGAATCCTCCTAAAACAAATTTCTTCCCATAAAACAGTTAAGTCTTCTTGAACTAAAGTGAACTTAGCTAATATTTACTGTTCACTCACTATTATATAACACTAAAATCAATTCATTTTAAAACTGTTTCTAAACTAACCACACCCTGGAAACTCAGAACAATTGTGGGCAAAGACTTCTTGTGATTTTCCCAGGAAAAATAAATTTAAAGAATTTGGTCTCTATTCTGATTTTAACAGATTTTTACTTGGGAATTATATAAGACATTATTATAATATGAATTTCTGTTCCTGTGAGATAAATTTATTGGGAAAATAAAAGATGGTTACATTGTTGAAAAGTATTTGATGTTAAAATTTATTATCATTTTCTTCCTGTCATACTCTTTTCTTGTTTATTTCTCTTTTCATTTTTTCATATATTTTGGAGGTGCTGAAAAGTTTCTAGTGCAGCCTATTTTCAAAATTCTTTTTTTAACCTTTTCAATAATGCCTAATATTTATTCTGTTTTCATAAATAAATTAATGTTTGTTTTTTCAGCTCCATTGAACTATCAACATTAGAATTACCATCTTTTTATACTAATTCCATAAGTCTGCCTAAGAAATTTATCTTTGACTCTTCAGGATAACTAGAAGTCGTTTATAATTGCTTCACCATTTATTTTCTTTTTTTTTCTTTCACTAACAAAGGTTTGCGTTGTCACTTGGAAGATGCTTGTGCCAGTAGTCCTTGTAATGCTGGTGCTCAATGTACCACTTCTCCGATTGATGGCAATCCAATTTGTTCATGTCCCAAAGGATGGAGAGGACAAGACTGCTCGGAGGATATTAATGAATGTGAAAAAAGTAAGTCATACTTCATCATTTGCAGAATTTTTCCCTCATAATTCTCTATTCTTACATTCAATCTCTTTCTCTCTGATTTTTCTTTCTCTCACTCTCTATGTGTTTGCTCTCTTTCTCTATCATTGCACTCTCTCTCTCTCTGTGTCTCTTCTGGTTCTTGCTCTGTCTGCTCTCTTTCCATCTGTGTACTGTCTCTCTCTCTCTCTCTCTCTCTCTCTCTCTCTGTGCACTCTTTCTCTTTATGCCTCTTTTTGCTATTCCTCTCTCTCTCAAGTATATTGTTATCCTCTCTCACTCTCTGCTTTTTATCTCTTCATTTATTCTTTCCCTCTCTGATTTTTATTCCCTACTCTTTCTCTCTCTGCTTCTTATCCTCTTGCCCTTTTCCCCTCTCCTGATGCCTCCTCTCTCCTTCTTTCTTGTTTCTCTTTTTTTTTCTGCTCCTCCTCCTCTCTCCATTTCTATGTACCTGTTCCTTATTCTTTTTCTAGGGATTCTCCTAAATTCTCCTTAATCTACTTCCCCTCTCTGTAACTGACTTCTCTTTCTCCCTTTTTTAAAAATCTTGTTTGTAATATCTTGAAACTCTTCTTCCCTTTTTTTCCAATAGGCCATGTTTCTCCCTGTGAACATCTTGGTACCTGTGTTAATGTGCCTGGACATTTCCGATGTGATTGTATGCCTGGATTCACTGGAGATCGATGTGAGCAAGACATCAATGAATGTGAATCAAATCCGTGCCAAAATGATGGAACGTGTCTTGATGAACGTGGAGATTTCAGATGTGTTTGTATGCCTGGTAAGTAATCTCATTAAAATATTTTTCATCTTTATAAATTAACTGTCAAAACAACCTAGACCACATTTTTCAATATTATGTACATTAATCTTTTTTTTCTGTCCAAAAAATAAGCATTTTTGGCACAAGTACTCAAGTTTCGCTTCTTCCTTAAAATCTTCTTGGAATTAAGACAGCAATCTTAGAATTCTTACAATTAGATATTAATGTAAGTTTCTGTAGCTGTTGTTTTACACTTGCTAGATCATCAGTAATGTGTAATTTTTAAAAGATTTAACATATGATGCTATTGCTTAATTTATAGCAATTAGAGAATTATTTTATTTCTATTTTTAAGAAATTTATTTTTATTTAACATGTTTATTCAATGTTACCAACTGTTTCATTTTATTATTATTTTATTAATTTAGAATTATCTGTTACAACTAATTTTGCTTCTCATATAGGGAATTTAATTTTTAATATTGTTTGGCACTTTCCTACTTTATTTTTTTTATTAGATGGTCTGGTTTTAAATTTTCCTAATTTAATGTTTTGGCCTGCATTGTTTTTTTCTCTATTTGTTTATGGTGTGGCATTGTAAACCTCTTTGATATATATATATATATATATATATATATATATATATATATATATAAAAGGAAGAGGTTATAGTAGTTCCAATGAAAGAAAAGTGTGTATATTAAAAAGAAGAGAGAAGCCGCAAACGTTTTTGGTTGTAATGTGGATTTTTAAAAAAATATGTCTTATTTTCCATGATTTTGCTACACGTGCTTCCAGTCTCGCGACTGTCATCAGGCAAAGGGTGGAGATTTCCACATATTATTAAAAATAATTCATTTTTTTCTTTGTTTTTTGATGTTAAATATTCTCGATATGAGACATTTTCTTTTTTGTGTTAGTGATCCAAACGTCTTTCTTGAACTGGCAGGGAAAAGTTCTGCATGAAAGGTTATAAAACAATTAAGATTAGTTCGAGAAATGATGGAGTAGTTATCGGCATTTTTATCTTTTAATGACCCCTGTGTGTTCTTAGATCTATTTCCATTTTTGTGTGCTTTTGTCAGCATGCGTGTATATATGTGTATATCCCCTCTCCATACATACACACTGTCTCACTACCAGGAATCAGTGAACACATCTGTACACCCACACACACACGCACACACACACACACACACATACCCTTTCATTACAAGGAATCAGTACATACACACACATACGTACATACACATACTTCCCAAGTTACATGGAATCAGTATACATGCACACACACATACATACACACATATATATGTACACACATACACATACTTCCTAAGTTGTGTGGGGTTTGTGTGCATAGTGTTAGTGTTGCAAGGAGCCTTGTTTTTTTAGAGTTTTATGTAGTTCTAGGCAGGTTTTTCGGAGGTGTTTATAAGTCACTATAGTACAAACCCTACGTGCTAGAGAATAGGGGATGGATTTTAGGCAATTTTTTGGGTGATGACTCTTGAAATGAAGATATTGTTGGTTGTCTGTAGGTTTGTGGTAGATATCTGTGATTATTTGGTTGTTTTTATTTCTAATGAGTATATCTAAAAATGGTAATTTGTTAAAATTATATTCTTGCATGAATTTGATTTTTGGGTGTAAGTTTTGAAGTAGTGTGGAATTGGTTAATATCACCCCATGAGGATTTCCAGAAAATGAAGCAATCATCTAAGTATCTTTTCCAAGATTTAGTGAATTGGGTTTTTATATTTTCCCCATATATTTGTTCTACCCTTTCATAGAGGTTTTCTTCTAGGTAAGCTAATGTTAGGGTGGCATATGTTGGTGTCATTTTTGTTCCCATTGTAGTACCTACGGTTTGGATATAGTTTTTGTTGTCAAATTCAAAGGTGTTATTGTTTAGAATAAGGTCTATACTATCGATAATGAACTCTTTAGTGAATCTCGGATGTAGTATTTCAGGATGTTTTTCAATCCAGAATAAGATTGACTTTTTACCTAGTTCATGGGGTATGTTGCTGTATAGGCTACTAATATATATATATTATAATTTTATCATATAGACAAAAACAGCTTACTCACTACAAAGATGCAACTTTGTTTCAGTGCATTTCAATTGCACCTCAACGGGTGAGAACCAAAAATGTTTATGAAGAATTCTGCTTGTGGGCAAGCCATATGTAAAACGTCACTTCTTTTTTTCCATTTGTTTAAGAAGAAAATATACATGAAGCAAAATGGTGACGGAGTGAAACAATAGTGCTTGTTGTTAGCAGTTTGGTGAAGGATGGGTGGGTTGTTGAATGCTGGCTAGTCTGGGAAGATTCCTTGCAGATAAACAACAGTCAAAAGTTTTGGCACAGCATCTCACAAGCTTCCTAAGAGTGAGAGGTGGGGGAGGAAAGGTGGGAATAGGAGATAGTAATACGATGGAAGAGGTAGGAGGGATAAACTCTAGCGATAGTTATAGTAGTAATTGGGATTTCTATTTTTTCTTGGTTTGCTATAAAAAACCAAGCTAAAGCTGAATTGCATATATTTATGTTGAAGTTATCACTACTAATTCTGTAATCAATGGAAGTGATTTGTAAATTAATAAATTTATAAGTGGTAATTTCTTCTTTTTGATTTAGAAATTAAATATAAGTAGAAAAATATATAAAAATAAAAAAAGTATTGGATATTAATATAGCTTTTATAATCTAATTTTGACCTATTCTTGGACAGTATAACGTGTAGAATAAGTATGGGTGTAAAAACAATTTATCTGAAAGTATTACTAGTAATATATATGCAAAAAGAAATATTTTAAGCATCATAATCTAAGATCAATTAGTGGAGAGGTACATAAGAGGGTAGGAAATATATCAAAGGAGATGAGTTAAACATTTAGAGTTATGAAATTAAGAATATTTTTTTCTCAAACAAATGTAAAAAAAGGAAGTGACGTTTCACATACAGCTTGCCCACAAGCAGAATTGTTCATAAACATTTTTAGTTCTAACCCATCGAGGTGCAATTGAAATGCACCAAAACAAAGTTGCATCTTTGTAGTGAGTAAACTGTTTTTGTCTATATGATAAAATTATAATAAATAATTATCACTCTACTATCGGTATCAAGTCCTCTCCGATGCAATGAGAATGAAAGTTATATTTATATATAGTGGAAAAACTTTGCTTTTCCAGTAAAAAAAAGTATTGTTACTATAAGATTAGTTATTTTGCTTAATTTGTGCTTTAAAGCAAAAGAATTTATTTTTTGATTGATGCTTTTAATTTCAGTATCTGTAACCAGTTTGATCTATTTGCTCTTCCTTGACAATATTGTCAAGGAAAAAAAAATTGAGAAAAAAACATCTTTCTGCAATTTTCTCATTTTAATTTTTAATTTTCTAACAAATTAAATTTATTGTATTTCTAAGCATTATTATTTCATTAAAAAATGTCTAAAATTGACTTACAAACCTTTATTTAAAGAATAATTATTTCAGTGCATGATTTGTAAAATTATGATTAATAGGAATGAAATGAAACTGTTCCATTGAAATATTTCCATGGAAGAATATGATAAAATATAAATAAAACAAAATATATTCTAGAATAATTATCAAATTTTATTTAAGAGCACTTGGAATTTATTGTCTTCAATGATGAGAATACTTTAAAGCTCTTCTGATACACTAATGAGTTCATATTTAATGCAAAACAAAGCTCATCAAATTTTAAAAAAAAGAATTATATAAATAAACTTGATAAAGCTTCACACATTATAATACCTACCAACTACAATTGAAAAGAATTAATCTAAACTTGTATTAATTAAATCTTACTATTTTTGAAGTAGTTGTAACAAATTTTATATTAAGATTTAATTAATACAATACAAAACAAAACAATAACAACCTAAAATCTGAAACAGGAATTTACTTTACAGCCTGTAATGCTTGCTACAAAGAATATATTGGGGAGACTTCAAGAAATTTAAATAAAAGATCATATGAACACAAAAGATATTTTTTTTTACAAAACAACACACACAATGCATTAGTTGTTTATCATAAAGAATCTGACCATAATTTAGATCTGAAAAATGTCTGCTTTAATTAAAGGAGCAATTTACTAAGAAAAAAAATATAGAAATTATAAATTTGCTTCCAAGTTCTTACATTTTACCTTTCTTAACAAATCTTTTATTGTTGCAGTGTGGAATATTTAAAAACAATAGCAATAAAAAAAAAACAAGATGAAAGCATTGGGAGGCCAAATGATATCGACTGAGATGTGTGTTGGTTGACAAATTTTAAAATTTAAATTTTTGTCTGAATTTCTAGGAAGAGGAGTTATTAATTTACAGGCAGTCTTTTGTTCTCATCTTTGCTGTTCTTATCACAACGTTTCAGCCATTGTGCCTTTTCAACTTCATCAGGTGCTTGGCAATCCAGATCACTTTCAGGGAATGCCAAACTGAACCCTTTATTTAATCTATGTCTGGATAAGATTACACAGATTGACAAGCACCTGATGGACGCCGGAGTGAACAACGACCGAAAAAATATATCAGATGAGGAAAATAGCCTGCATTAATTTAAAATTTAGCATTCCAACATCTTCAGTGTTTACCTTTCACTATATAATCGTAACCGCGTTTTTATATCTCCCTCTTCCCCTGCATGTATATAATTTCATCAATAAGAATATTATTTTAGTCTGATGGAGTCCGTTTAGAGAACGAAACTAGTTACATAGAATTTTTTCCACTTTGTCATTCAATTAACTTAAATATTTGTATAATACATTGGGTGAAGTTACTGCCCATTGTTAACGTGGTTAAAAGTTACCTCCCTTAGAGTAACAGTACATCGATGCTTCCACTTCAACTTCAGTCTTGTAAAATCACGAGGTATTTTCACACACGCACACAGATTTTCTTTCTCGTTATTTTTTTTTTTTTTTATTAGTCTCTCTAAATACTTTTTTTTTGTTACAATTTTTCTTTATCTTATC